ACAATTTCTTTCAACAAAGGAGGTTGTATCATCTCATATCACAGGTTGTTAATGAGCTTCCTCCAATTCCGATGCCACATTGGTCCTCACATAATCCACTTTCTCAGATTACTTGCTCAGCATACAGATTGAATAAGTATGGTGAAAGACTACAACCCTGGTGCACACCTTCCTGATTTTAAACCATTCTGTGCCCCCTTGTTCTATTTTGAACAACTGCCTCTTGGTCTATGTGTAGATTCCTCCTGAGCACAATTAAATGTTCCGGAATACTCATTCCCACAATGTTGTCCATAGCTTGTCATGATCCATACAGTCAAAAGCCTTTTCATAGTTAATAAAGTAAACAGCTTCCTGGTGTTCTCTACTTTCAGTCAAGATCCATCTGATGTCAGCAATGATATTCTTCATCCCAGTTTCTCATCTGAATCCATCTTGAACCTCTGGCAGTTCGTTGTCAATGTACTGTTGTGGTCATTTTAAAATTATTTTTAGCAAAATTTTACTTGCATGATATATTAATGACATTGCCCAATGATTTCTACATTCTGTTTGGTCTTTGAAATGGGTTTTGCCCATCAGATCTCTTCCATCAATTGCCTAAGTAGCTGTCTTCCAAATTCCTTGGCATAAACGAGTGAGTGCCTCCAGTGTTGCATCAGCCTGTTGAAAGATTCCATTTGTATTCCATCAATTTCTCAGACCTTGTTCTTTGCCAATGCCTTCAGTGCACCTTGGACTTTCTCCCTCAGTACTGTAGGCTTTTAATCATATTCTATCTTTTGAAATAGTTGAACATCATCCATTTCTTTTTGGTACAGTGATTCTGTATACTACTTCTATCTTCTTTTTAAGTTGCTTTCTGCATCTTTCAATATTTTGCCCATGGAATCCTTCAGTATTTCAAGTTGAAGCTTGAATTTTTTTTCTTCAGTTCTTTTAGTTTGAGAAATGCTGAGTGTGTTCTTCACTTTTGCTTTTCTAACTCCAGGTCATTGCACATTTCACTATAATAATAATTGGCTGTATCTTCTCAAGCTGCAATTTGAAAATTTTTTTCTGTCCAGTTCTTTTACTTCATCATTTCTCCCAGTTGCTTTAGCATTCAAGAACACATTTCAGAGTCTCTTCTGACATCTATTTTGGTCTTTTCTTTTTCCCTTTCTTTTTAATGACCTTTAGCTTTCTTCCTGCACGATGCTGTTGATATCATCCCACAACTCTCCTGGTCTTGGGTCATTATTGTTTAATGTATTAAGTCTGTTCTTAAGATGGTCTCTAAATTCAGGTGGACATATTCAAGGTCATATTTTAATCTTGTGGACTTGTTTTAATTTTTTTTCTGCTTTAGCCTGAACTTGTTGTTATGTGCTATGGAGTCAGTTCCGACTCATAGCAACCCTGTACAGGGTTTCCAAGGCTGTAAATCTTTACAGAAGCAGAAAGCCTAATCTTTCTCCCACAGAACAGCTGGTAGCTTTGAACTGCTGACCTTGCAGTTCGCAGCCCAATTCGTAACAACTATGCTACCAGAGCTCCTGAACTAGCCTGAACTAGTACAGAGCAATTGCTGGTCTGTTCCACAGTTGGCCCTGGCCTTGTTTTTTTGACTCATGATGTTGAGCTTCTCCATGGTCTCTTCCCACAGATGTAGTCAATTGGTTCCTATCTGTTCCATCAGGTGAGTTCCACATACATAGTTACCTTTTATTTTGTTGAAGAAAGGTATTTGCAATGAATGAATCATTGGTCTTACAAAACTCTATCACACAATCTCCAGTTTGTTCCTATCACCAAGGCCTTATTTTTCAACTTCTGATCTTTCCTCTTTGTTTCCAACTTTCATATCCCAATTATCAGTAATTAAATCAATGCATCTTGAATACATGTTTGATCAAGTTCAGATTGAAGACATTGGTAGAATTCTCAGTTTCATCATAGTTGTCTTTAGTGGTTTGTGTATAAATTTCAGTAATAGTGGTATTAACTGGTCCTCCTGGTAGGCATATAGATGCTATCATATAGACAGCATTGTACTTCAAGATAGATCTTAAAATGCTGTTTTTAACAATGAATATGATTTAATTCCTCTTGAATTTGACATTTCCAGTATAGTAAACAGAATGATTGGCTGATTCAAAATAACCAATACCACTCCATTTCAGTTCACTAATGCCAAGAATATAGAACTTTTTGTGTTCCATATCATTTTTTATGACTTTCAATTTTAATTCATACTGAAAACAGCCCACGTTATAGTTATTAATGGATGTTTGCAGTCGTTTCTTCTCATTTTGAGTTGTGTCCCATCAACAAATGAAGGACTTGAAAGCTTTACTCCACCCACATCATTAAGGTCAACTCTACTTCGAGGAGGCAGCTCTTCCCCAGTCATATTTTGAGAGATTTCCACCTAAGGGGTTTATCTTTTAGCATTATATCAGATGTTGTTCCCCAGCTATCAATAAAGTTTTCAGTGGCTAACCATTCAGAAGTGGCCCTCCTTCCTTCTTCCTAGTTTTAGTCTGGAAGCTTCACTAAAACCAGCCTTCAATGGACAATCCTGCTGGTTTAAAAATC